TATATTTGTGTCAAAACATTTGAAATATATGAAATAAATGTATATCCCACAGTCCCACAGCACGCTGAAAAATCTGCAAAAAACTGCAGTTTTTCTGCAAAGAATCTGCAGAGAAACTGTAAAGATTATATTGCAGATCTGCATCAGATCTTTGGCCAAATCCTGGCACATCTGCATTGCAGAAAAACTGCAGTTTGCAGAATCTTTACAGATTCTGCAAAGATTTTTGCAGACCGAGTTTTTTTGGGTTCTATAGTTATTTTGGCATATGTTTCAAATAAAAATGATCAACAGCTTGGTGGGCTTATATGAAATTTATATGAAAAATACCGTAAGGCTACAAAATGACGCGGTAACGGTAGGGAGCTGTGGGTCTACGTTTTTATATATCCAGACTCCAGTTTGTTTTTCTACCACTTATGATCTACGAGTGTTATGCTGTTTGTATGGTAACCACTCAACGAGGTATGTATATAGGAGTGAATTGTAACGGTATTGTGTCGTTAGAACGAAAAAATTCAAAAAATTCAAGTTGAATAAAAAAAAATTTACGAGCATGCATTCGATAGAGGAATTTCAATTGCCTATTAATATAATGTTTTCCCTATGCTTGGTGCATTGGCGACCGCGGACCAGGAGGTTTTCTAGAGTGATGGAAATCCTTAGGGTTTGACAAAAGAAACGTTTTCTGTTACATGAAAAGTGCAAGTGTCATATACCGTCCCAAAGAATTAATATTGCATAGGTACATGTATGTGCAAATGTACCTATGCAGGAATTGGTGGTCATCAGTCTCGTTTTGACGAAATGTGTGCTGTAACATAAGTACACTTCAACAAGAATATCTTACGAAGCATTCAAATTTTTCCTTTTCTAACGACACAATACCGTTACAATTCACTCCTGTATACATACCTCACTGAGTGGTTACAATACAACTCGTACATCATATGCTGTTTTGAGCCAAATAAACAGAAAATATCCAGCTTTTAAGCCCTCGTTTCACTCGATACAAATAGAGGAACATTTTTTTCTATGTAGAAACTATCTTTGTCATTCTAGACTGACTTTCAGGGTAGGAAGATGGTGAATTTGGTAAAAGGTTAAAAATGAGTTATTTTGGATAAAGTTTTTACGGCTCAAAATATATTTTTATTCCTGATATTCGTGATCAGCTTGTGGATAGTCTACTAGAACTGCAATTGGTTGAATAAACGGTAAACCGGTCTGGTCCGGCCGGTCGGAAAATGTAACCCGACTGGTTGGAATTATAACTCAAACCGGTGAAAAACTGGCCATGTTTTTTGCAAATTGGATTTCAGAAAGACTTTCCTCGAAAATTAAATAGTTTGCGAGCACATGTGAGAGAATCTTCACAATAACGAGTCTATAACATTTAACTTTAAAACAAGTGGTGAAAAATCATAAGAAATATGTCTTGAGCATCGTGTTATTTATTGTGATTGAAAAAGGCGTGAATTTTTTAATTTTTTGACGAAAAACAAAGTAAAAAGAGCAGATGTTTCAAAAGTTTCAACCGGTGGAATACCGGTCTCTTTTTCAACCGGATCGGTAGCTGTTTACCGAACTGATTCCAGCTCTGTAGTCTTGATCTAGATAAAATTTGTGCTGAAAAGCGAATAAGTTTTTCGATTACTTTAATGTTATGATAATACTGGCCTAAAATTTTCCAGAAACAGAAGGTTAATTTGTCGAAAAACTAAATTGATAGTTTGATTTAGAATTTGACGCTGAGCCTAACCATGGGATTGTCTTTAGAACATATTGCGGGCGGAAAAATGATCTTACCGCCGCTTGCATTTTCAGTGATATTCTACGCTGCTGCGAAAACTATTTTATTTATATACAAGTATTTGCCTATAAATGAAAAGCGCTAAATTCCCAAAATATTTTTTTTAGAACCGGTTTTAGCCACCTTATTGAGCATTGTCTAGTCTATCAAAAACTATAGCCTTAGCGTATAGTGTAGCTTCTTTATCTCACATACGACAAGATGCGCACACATTCGGTCTAAGAAAAACGTGCGCAGCACAGTGGGCAATTTTGGCTAGGCAGGCGGACATTTGGATGTCAATGCATCCAATCAACTTAAAATTTAGTAAAAATAGGTTTTCGAATGTGCTCTTTCCAACGGAATACTTTTTGGAACAATATAAGTTTTTCTAGAAAACCTTTTGGGTTTTTGAGGGTTTTTCGTCTAGAAAAGGCCAAACCTGTCAAATTTCTGCATTTTTATAGCTTTTCGAGTGTGCTCTTCAGCATAGAATACTTATTCTCAGGATTCAGGTTCTTGAAGAGGGTTTTCTAGAAAACCCTTTGAGTTTTTGCACGGTTTTCTTTTTTAAAAAAGCTAAATCTGGCGAAAAATTTGGAGTGCAAATTTTAACGTTGCATGATTTGCACCAAAATTAATCATCCAGGGATATTACCAATGAATTAGTGAACAGTGATTGTCCACCACCTCAAAGAAGATATACCCTCACTCGTTATATCAATTACACGATCAAAGGGGGTACAATTGAAGCAAGAAGAAGGTCAGGAAGACCAAGAAAAATAAGAACACCAAGATTTATACCAGTAGTCAAACTTCTTATTTCTTTGATCAACATATCGCCATTTTGATTTTAGGACATGTGAAGAAAAATTTCTCTATCATAAAAATCTATGTATCTCCCAAAGCACTAGAGCTAGAGATCCAAAAATTTAGGATAATATTTGTCTAGTTAGGACATCCAATTTTGGGCCTTTTCGTATGTGTGATTGAGGAGAACGAATTTTTTTCTAAGTTCGACCAAGACAGCAGCTGAAATGATAGCGGCAAGAACGCAAATGGCCAATGAAGCGAAAATGACAAGTAAAAAAACTCATGACATTGTTGCAACTGATAAACTGTTTAGTTGCTAACAATAACTCTGCATGTAAATATTTGAAATAATTTATTGAAACTATTTTTCGACTCAGATTTTTGTTGTTTGAAGCTCGTGATTCCAGATTTATATATGCTATGAAAAGAGATGCTAAATTAAATAGAAGAGTTGATGATCCTTGGAAATAGTTGAGAGAAAAGTGCTGTGCACAAGTGGTAGGGTAAAGTGTTCTGCAGAGGCAAGTATCCGCGCGGACAAGTATCCACGGAGGCAAGTGTCCGCGGGAGGCAAATGTCCGGAAGACAAAACGCTGGGGGCAAGTGCCCGGGAGGCATCTTACCGGGAGGCAAGTTGCCAGGATTCTTCCTTTACAAGGTAAATTTTAAAAAGATGTTCAATCGATTTGATAATGTAAAAGAATATTGCATGAGTAAATCAATCCACAAAAAAAATCAAAATTTAATAATAAAAGTTCTTTTCTTATGTAAATATATTCTTTAATTTAAAAATATGTTTGTTCATCGTATTGCTCACTCTGATATATCGGATTAATTTTGAAAACTGTTTCATCTGAGCTAATGTTTGCTGCGTTACTTTTCGATTTTCTTGTATTATGTCTCACTTTCCTTGTGCTATATTTCGACTTTCTTCTACTATGTCTCAATTTCTTTGTTTTACTTTTCGAGTTTCTTACTTTTGTAAAGATTAAAACTAATATTAGAAGGAATGCAACTCCTGATATAACAATTGCACTAATAATACCAGCACTCAATGACTTTGGCTTATTTTTCGGTGCCGTTTCTTTACATATTTTATAAGTGATAATTTGTTCAACAGAGTTTTTCGATTCATTATTCACTATAAATTCTAGGTGTATTGCTATTTCATCAAATATTTCAGATGAATTCATTTGTAAATAATAGATTCCAGTTGACATTTTGTTTAGATCAAACTCAATAAATGATGGTATTTGAATTTTTTTCACATAAATTTCATCTTGATCAAAAAGTTGTGTACTATTGAATAAAATTTTATTTGTGTTTGATTGAAAATTGTGACAATTAACTGTAAAATCAAATTTATATTCGGGTTCGAAGGATCCAACATAGATTGGATAAGAGAACATCATCGAAACATAATTTTCTTTCAATGTTATATTGTTAAATCTTTTTGTTGTAATATTTAGATCAAGATTAAAATTAGTGAAATAATTCAATGGAATTTTCATTGTAAACTTATTTACTTTTGATAAATAAGTTATCGAGTCTGCTAAGATTATTTCATTGTTGTACGCTATTTGAATTTTATCTGGTAAATTTTTTATCTGAACGTATGTTTCATTCGATTCACTCGTCTCTAATATCAAATCATAATTATTACGAATTTCACTTGGATAATAACCAATTGTTAATGATGGTGGCTCGTTTAAAATATCTTCCAACGTTACGTTCATACTACAATCGTCTCCTTTGTACATGTAAAAACAGTCGCAAACTCCATATTTAGTGCAATCACCATTTTCTGAGCAATTATTGGGACATTCTGTCGTTTCCATAGTTCTTACAGTTATATTTTGATAAAATGTTAATGGTAAAAAATTTAAAACATTATCTTCAACTGAAACATACAAATTGTACGGTTCAAAACGTTCAGGTATATCAATGATTACAATTGATTCATTTGTTGAATAAATTAAATTATCAATACCATCGTACAAATCAATCTTTTTTATACCAGATCCGTTATCAGAAGCGTTGATGAAGAGATACTGAATAGTATCATTCTTAATGTGTAATAAGGTAATATCAGGTACAACTGAATCTAAAGTGTAAGTTAAAGAATTTGTATCAATTGGCTCATTATTATCGAAGATAATTGTTGCATTTGCTTCTATTTCAGTGAGATGAATTGTTTCTGGATTGATTAAAACTTCAAATTCTATAAAACCTTTACCCAACATTTTTCCATCAGTGGGTGGTAAAAAACCTATACTTGCATCTTCTGGAGTATCGCCCGTATTTTTATCAATCGTTTTAAAAGTCCACAAAATTTCTCTTGAAATAGGATTAAATGTAGCAAAAACACGAACATCATAATCGTTTAATACTTGTAAGTCATTCATGTAAGGCTTTTTTAAATCGATTATTTGTTTTTCTAAATCATTAAATCCATATCGGGTAAACATAAGAGTTTGTTGATTATAATTTTTGTTTAAAATTGAAGTGATTTTTACGATTTGAGCAGGTGCAGTTGTATTTTCCATGTTCTCAAATTGTATAATAAATTTAAATTTTTGATTTAATGAGATATAATTTTGAAAACCATAACCATTTGGACCACTTATATCATTTGGATCTTGTGATAAAAACCAATTTAAAGCTTTATTAATGGCATCTTCAAAAAAATGTTCTGCAATTCCTTTTCCACATGCCACAAGTGGATGTTTAGCTACAATTGGTGACACCCATTTGCCTAATGCTTTTTGTGCTTTGTCTGTTATCTTTCCCGCAGCCTTTCCCGCAAGATATGAACTAAGACGTTCACTGGCCGGAACATTATTACATGAAGAGTCGACATAAGAGTTAAGATTGGAATATGAATCTGACATCTGCGACAGAAATTCATTACTTGCCGAAGCAAGTGTCCCATCATTGAAATAATATTCTTTAACAAATGCTGCAGCACCTTTGCACAAATCATCAATTATTCTTGGTTTTGTAAAATTCATTTTCATTAAGTTATTTCTACTTCTGATTTGTTCTAATAAGACTCTTGACTGTTTAACGTTTCGTTTCTTTTTGTTCGCAAATGAGTTGTATTTGTCACATATACTAGACAAAGTAGATGGTTTATTAAATCGATTAACAGCTCTATTAATTTGCTTTTGTGCTGAATTCATATCGGGTGGTGTTAAATAACCAGGAATGGTAGGTATGGGTATTATCAATTGTGAAGATTTTATATTAAATTGTGAAGGCTGATTTTTGTTAATAGGATCCCGAGGAAAATATGGTGAAGTAAATATACCATCTAGATTATACACTGGCTGTCCAAGCACTATCTCATTTTTATCTGAAAAGGGTTTATTATCCGTACTAAGCGTAGTACCATAGTTTAAATTTGGCCAAAATGTATTCAAATTAATAGTTAAATTTGATAAAATTGATGTAAATGGATCCGGATTTGTTATTGAAATAGGTGGTTCGATTGTACCATTTGAATTTAAGATTTGTGATGCCATTAAATTTCCATTTAATTCAATAAAATTTATCTTTGACTCAATTATAAATCCTATTATTCCAATAAGAGGAAATTGAATAAAATAGATTAAAGTTTTATTTGGCAGTATGACTGATAATGGTTTTTGTAACATTGAATTTGAATGATAGTTAAATATAAATAGTCCAGCATTTGTACAATTAATTTGACTTAATCGTTCTAGACAATCATATTTTAGAGTACAATTATCATCTTTATCAATAAATTGTAATAATTTACCATCTTCATAATAATTGTAGAATATTTCACTATTCCTATTTTTATTATATTCTTTAACTACATTTCCATTATTGTCATATGTATAGGAACTTTCACCATTAGTTAAATATTGATTTAATTCATTTACTGAATATTCAAATGATTCTTTTTTCATTTCATCCATTTTAAAAAATCGTCGTCTATTTCCATTTAAATCATATTCAATAGTAATAACTGTTTTTGTTTTATTATTTGTCAAACTTACTAATCGACTGAGACTATCATAAGAATATTTGGTAACAATATCGTTATCTTTTCTTGTTATTTGTCTCATTTGTGTCATAAGAGATTTATGATTGTATTCATATTCATAAGTTATAGAATTATTTGGAACTCTTAGATCTTCAATTATATATTTTGATAAAAGTCCTGACTCTTCAGAATATATATATTTATAATTTCTAAATACTTTTGTCAAATAAATTTGATAGCCACTAATAGAATGATTAACTATGGCAATAATGTCATTATTATATCGTATTTCTTTTATATTTTCATTTTTGTCACGTACATATTTCATATTATTATTATCATTTGAATTAATTTCAATAATATTCGATTTACTATTATAAATATATTCAATTTCCAAATTAGTTTTTTTTTTAGTTTTGACTAATCTTCCCAACGAGTCATAAAAATTGAATACAGAATCATATGAATCAGTACTAAATGCTGAATCCATTATATTTTGACTATCATACGTATAAAAACATTCACGTTTTTTGTCACCTGTAGCATGACTATAAAATATTCTTTGTAAATTTTCATCATATTTTACTTTCAATTTATCTTTATTTCGAGTTTCAATTGTCAATTGATTGTCATTTAAATCATATGAACTCGTTTCTTTCAAATCATATGGTAATAAATGTTCTTCAATTATCAAATTATCGGTTTCTATAGTTAATGATTGAAATTTATTTCCTAAACGATCTGTATATTCATTTTGTTGATGAGTAGAATTTTTCATCAATGTTTTTTGTCGTAATATTCCACC